AATTGAGAAAGGGGGGGGGGGAAAAACAAAAGGGCTACCCAAAAAAAAAAATAAAAAAAATTCCATGAGGAAGACAAAAGGTCGGATGGTGCCAGCCAATTAGTAATCGTCAGCCGTCAAAATGTGACGTATCTGTGGAAAAAAAAAAAATTAAAAAATAAAAAAATGACGTAAATCTCAGAGTTTTTTTTTTTTTTAGGTGAGCTTATCCCTCTGCTATTCATGGGAGTGGTTGGGGATTGGAGCCCATGGGTAATTGTCAGCCGTTGAAGTTCTTTTTTTTTTTCTTTCTTTTTTTTTTTTTTCGGAATGCCGTCGACAGGACGTATCTGCAAAGAGGAGGGGGGCGGAAAAGAAAAAGATGACGTATCTGCATGGGCGTGACAGATGACACTGTAAATACCCTCAGAGCTGAGGGTTTTTTTTTTTTTTTTTTTTTTTTTTTTTTGGTTCCTTCTTCATCTGCGTTTATCCTGCTGCTAATAACGGTAGTGAATGAATGAGTATGCATTCGTGTCCCTTCCGGCAGCCATGCCACGTCACTCGACTGCGTCACGACCCCTGACGATTCCGGAACCGGCTCCAGATGAAACGCGTAGGGTCTTGCCGGGGTAGTTGACCTTGCTTTGCTCGGCACGGACATCACGTGTAGCGTTCGGGAGACATATAGATGTACCAATTCTCAATCTCTCTTAATCTCGCTTCGCCTCTCTTCCTCCTTTTCTATCTCAGCATGGATGTGTTCTCTTTTCTCTCTCGCTCATGGTATGTCTTGCATGTCTTCGTGTAGGCCACGTGGCCGTGTCTGGTTGAATGTTTATGGTCTCTAAGAATGTGTTTTGAGTGATTTAGGCTGCAGTGACTGGCCTCTGTTTACCGCCATTCTTCTTCTTCTTCTTCTTCTTCTTCTTCTTCTTGTTCATGTGATGTGTGAACGAGAGGCAGCTTCGGGCGGTGCTTGTCACTATTCTTCTCCCTCTCCTTCCTCCACCCGCTCCACTCCCTCTTCTTCTTCTTCCTGCTCGTTTGCTTGTCCACATATCGTTATTCTCTCCTCATCTCTCCTTCTTCTCTCTCCTGGCCTCCCTCCTTTTCCCTGTCGAATCTACCACGCCAGCTGTGGGTGTCATCCCGTTTTTTGGTCATCAGACAATATGCCAACACCGTCCAACAAAAAAGTGAAAAAAAAAAGAAAAAAGAAGGTTAACAAAGTTAACAAACTGTCGGAAAGAGAGAGGGTTGAGGGGGAGGGTTGTGGGGGGGGGGGGGGGGGGGGGGGGGGGGGGGGGGGGGTTGTTTTAGGCGGGGGGATCAGGTGAGCGCGAAGGGGAAGCAAACAAATGAGGAAAGAAAAAGGGAAAAGAAAAGAACACCACCTTGGACAAGAATAAGGGGGGGGATTGGCTGATGATTATAGCTTTCTAGGCCGTCTGGCTAAGGGCCAGATCCCATTGGCAAAGGGCCTCGTTCGACACCACTAGATAACCCTTACATGTAAGGGTTTCATCGTTCCACCCCTTCCTAATGACGAAAAAAAAGATGCCAAATCTGTTTTCACATTCGGGGCCGTAAGGGCGAGGCCCACAAAAGTAGGGACTCCCCAGCCAAAACGGACGCAAATGTAAGGGACGGCGGTGGAGGTGACTTGAAAGTAGGGGTGGCGTCAGGTGTTTCATTCGCGTTCCTGGTCCAACGGCTGGGTTGTCCGGTACACAGCGGGACGGCGGTGTGGAACGAGGCCCAGAGAGGATTGGAAAGAGTGTCTGAATGGAGACGTGTTTGTGGCCAGGTGCAGAAAACTGTGATTGATGTGCTTTTCTGCATCTCTGCGTGGAACACGACCAGATTCAGACACTTATTCCAGTCGTCCTTGCCAGTGGGATCTGGCCCTAAGATCACGTGTAGTATCTGTTCCGATCAGTTTAATATCTGCTCTGTGGTCCATTGGGCCAAAAAAAGAAAAAAGAAAAAAAGGAAAAAAAAAAAGAAAAAGAAGAAGAAGAAGAAGAAGAAGAAGAAGAAGAAGAAGAAGAAGAAGAGATCGGCTTATTGGCTAATGGGATGTCAGAGCTTTCCTAAAAAAGTGGAGACTGTGTGAGATGTCATCATTATCATTCCTTTTGGTATTTTTTCTCTTAAATTATAGAAAGGGGCCTGTTGCAGCATCGGATTTCGTGCCTGAAACTGGACATGTTTGGGTGACGTTCAGGGAGACGCGCAGAAAAAGGCTATCGATCTGCTTTTCTGCATCATCTCTCTGCGTAAAACACATCCAGATACAAGCCTCTTTTCTAGCAGGATCTCACCCCCAATGGAGGGACAGCATGAGCGCTTTTTTTTTTTTTTTTTTTTTTTTTTTTTTTTTTAAGTACTATTTTTCGGTTTATGCATGTCATCCTTGCGCAGGGGCTTTGATATGATATGGTTTAAAGACCACCTAGGACACCTGTCACATACTGTCCCACACCTGTCACATACTGTCCCACGGGTGTCAGACTAACCCAAACCACTTGCTAATGAGTCCAAACCCCATTTTTTGTTTGGGGGGGGGGGGGGGGGGTGTATGCTGAGAACCCGGCCGGTGTCCCAAGGTACCACAGTACCACCTCTTCAACATCACAAAAGGAGCAGTGGAAAAGGAACTAGGAGGGTCCAGACCAGTGTTGTCACACGGGGATCCCGGGGGTCAGCCTCGGTTGTCGATCGACCCCACGTTGTTGTAGGCTTGATGCTCAAAACATAGGAAGGCAATCAAGCGGGTAGGTGGACGGGCGAGGCTCGCAGGCACACACAGCAACACACCAAGGCAGGCGGCTACACAGAAACCCATGGACACACGAGGGATCAAATCCCATTATCACCTACTCACGTCATATGAAAACCTTGCAGACTGTAGGTTCACACCACCATCAACTGGCATCAAGGGCCAGGGAGCCACAAGCCGAATGTCTGTCTCCACCAGGAAACACAGAAACACAAGCACCCCAAACACAGCAGTCACTGCGAAGAAACAGTTGCTGACTGTTCGGCACATCTTGAAGGTGCTGGATTTTGACACTGAAGAGAGCACGGGGAAAACACACAGAGAGCAAACAGATCAACAAACAATGTGAATTTGTGTGTGTGTGTGTGTGTGTGTGTGTGTGTGTGAGATGAGAGACGAACCCCCCAAAAGAATAGTTGCGGCGAGCTGCGCGGAAAAAGCATGACAAGAAACATACTAAAACAAAAAATTGTCCACTTCCTATGGTATGACCAAAGGAAAGGCAGGCAGCAAACAACTCGCCACCCAGGTAAGCAGAAAAGGAAGACAAGCCAGCGGCGGGCAGAAACCAGCAAAGCAGCAAAAGGCAGTGCAGCAACACACAGTGAGACAATGAATGAAGATGCACTGAATGACAAGAAACAACAAGACACCTACCGTCTTCGGTAATTATCACCGTATCTGGGCTGAATGTTATGCCAAATACAGCTATAATGACCAGGCGTTCTATTCGGGTGAAGACGTTAGGCTGGAGAAGGGCACGGGGGAGGCAGGTGGGCATACACACAAAGCAGCAAAAGTAAAAGGCAAAGAGCTAAGACACAACAAGTAACCTCGAGAGACAGGCTGGAGGGCAAGGGGGACGTGGGCGGGCAGACAAACAACACAAATCAGCAAAAGAAACGACAGTAGACCAAAAGGCGAAAACTGAAAAAAGTGAAAGCTGCTGATAACAAGAATGTTCCGTCGGAGTTGCACCGACTCATCAGGAGGCTGAACCCTCGACAATCTGCAAAATCTTCGTATTACAAATGCTTGGCTAATAGATCACACCCACCTGGAACAGAAAGGGGTTGCACTGCCCTGCTGTCAGCGGTGCCTCACGGCCTTCCCCTCACGCAAATGGAATGAGACAACCGAGCACATCTTTATGCAGTGTCCGGTGGCCGTACTGACGTGGCGCTGGTGGGACAGGGTATGGCGCAAGATGGTACCGGACACCCCCTGGCCGTGGTCTTGGAGGGCGATCCTCACCGGTCACTGCCCCAAAATGGCTGCAGCGTCCGTCTACACAGAAAACTGGTTTAGCCTTGGTATAAGAGCGGTTCTCTGGGCTCTGTGGTGGCAGCAATGCCTTCTCAGTCAGGAAACCGTTAGAGCGGGGGATGGAGAGCTCAGAGAACAGATTAAGGAGCAGATTCAGGTGGAATTGCTGCGTAGATGGTACGATTTGAAAAGCCAGCTGGATACTTTTCAAATGGGCCAGGACATTAAGCGGGCCCTCACGGCCTTCTGCACAGAATGGCTTGGGGAGACCGAGGGGGTTGGGTAGCTAAGATACAGTGGGGAGGGGATCAACCAAGTGGACAGGATGGAGTACAAGAGGTCCCCCTCAGAGATTACCGCCTGGTGTTCAATGATCGGACCAATTTCGAGCCCTCGTTCCCGATGCGACCCCCTACTGATTTCTCGGACCCCTTCCCTCCCCACCCGCTTGCTCTAGCTGAGCCCCTCACTTAAGTTGCCTCCCCCAGGTGCCCCCCGGGGTGACACAAAAGTTCCTACACAAGATTCAAGATCCGAAGATTCGGTGAGCGCCCCGGTGTGGACAAGAAGTACTGGAGGTGGAGTTCCTCAGGCGCAGAATAGGCAGTGCAGTCACATCAGGAAGAGATGCTTTTCTGGCCGCCGAATCAGGGCTGAAGAGATGGCTTTGCAAATGCCTACCCCCCGGCACCCCCCGGGGAATGCTTACCAGACGAAACATCATCCTTTCCCTGCACAGTAGATCCTCTGATCCCAGAGTAATCAATGCTGGCAGGAATTCTCTTTAATCCTCCCATGCCCTATCAGAGCGACTTCCTCTCTCATTTCAATTCTGTACAAGGGACGCTGGACCCGTTTTCCAGCAGGTGATGCTCCCCACCAATAGATGGAGCCTCCCCTGGGTGCTAGTGGTATCTGTTTTTAATCAGTATCACTAGCACTACAGGCCCTAAAAGGGGTTTTTTTTGTTAAAAAAAAAAAAAAAAAAAGGGTTATGAACCATTTGACCCTTGCTGAAGGAAGACTGTCCTCCCAGATGGAACACAGCAGCGGGCAGCAACCCAGCGAAGCACCAGGCAATGCTCGAGAGGCAACACGGCTGCTCAACGGAGTCAATGCCGAAGACGACTGCAAGGAATGACATGACAAGTGGACGAACAGCACGGCACCCGTGCAGTGAAGCGCAAGGAACCACAAGCAAGGCAACCACACTGCAAGGGACGACAGGGCGAGCGGACCAGCAGCTTGGCAACCGTGCAGCGAAGCACAAGGCAACACCAAAAAGGCAAGCAAACTACAAGGCGTGCAAGCAAAAGACACGGAAGGTACGGTCAGTGGATGGGCGGCAAGGCAGTGGAGCAGTGGAGCAGCGAAGCGCAAGGCAACACCAACAACACGGCCACACCACGAAGCAAGCGGGAAAGGCTGCAAGGCAGCAGCGGAGAGCTGACGAGGTAGTCCACACATCTAACAGGGAGCAAAGCGGCACATCACCTCATATTCACGTCATGCAGACTGTTGCTTCCCACCACCCGTTGAGCCAGGGAGTCACACTGACGAACATCCGTCATCACCCACAGGAAACGCAGACATCCGAACTGAGCGGCCCCCATAAGAGTGTTGCAGGCACTCCAAACAAGATTGACTGACTGTTTGGCACTACTTAAAGGTGCTCAGCTGGACCACAAAAAGTACTTGGAAACATACAGGGAGTATGGACAGAAAACATCAGAAGAAAAACAAACAAAGAAATAGGAGGACATACATAAACTGTTTTTTATTTATTTTTTTATTTTTTTGTGTGTGACACTCTGTGTGTGTGTGTGTGTGTGTGTGTGTGTGTGTGTGTGTGCGCGCATCCGTGTGCGTGTTGCCCGTGAATGTGAGTGCTGTATGCAATCACCCGTCATTCATTTGAGAAACTGGTGATATATTTGGAGTGGAACAGAAGGTACAGGGGGCATCTTTGCTTTTGATGGATGTGTGAGTGGTTAAAGCCTTGAAGGTATCAGTCCTGAAAGCTGACATTTTACAAAATATTTGGGGTTGTTTGTTTGTTTGTGTGTGTGTGTGTGTGTGTGTGTGTGTGTGTGTGTGTGTGTGTGTGTGCGTGTGTGTGTGTGTGTGTGTGTGTGTGTGTGGTATACAGTATTCATTAAGTCATCTTGTGCAAGATATTAGTTGGATCAACAGCTATGTTGGCCGCAGGTCAGCCGGCCCTTGCTCTGCCTAGAAGCTCCTCCCCTGGGCAAGGAGTGTGTAAATGCTCCCCATTTACCGCAATAAACCACAATCTAGGCAATGCTGCACAGTGCGGCATTGACTTTCACAGTCGTTACTGCTGCAATGATGGAGGGGTAATGGCAATGCAGACACCTAGTCATACGAGCAGTGGCGTTGTGGTCGATTCCACGGCTACTTTCTGTAGCTTCGGATTCCTCGGTAAGAGGAGACTGGCCCTCGGTGGCCGGCGGCTTGGTGATTGGCAGAAGAGTTCAACTTTGCTGATTCCGGCGGTGCACAGACATACAACCTGGTTTTCCCAAACAGGGGCTCATCATGGATGTCATTCTCGAACACGGCATCGGGGAAGAATTATGTTCCACCATCGTCCCATTCATTCGTCTGAACTCCCCTTCTTTGTGGCAATTCCATCAGCGGGACTCGTCGTCGACATTGGGGCTCGTGAGGGGTTAGCTACGCACCTTGCCCGACAAGCACCGCGTTTACGAAGTTCTCGGTGCAAGCTGAGCTTCGGCAGCCAATCATCACCTGACAGTGTTGCTTCTCTCGCCCCCGAACGGTCACCTCCTTTCAATATTTATGACGACAAAGAAGTGGAGTTTTTCCAGGCAGGTCGCGAGCTCCATTTGGACTTACGGCGGAAGATAGAGAGCGAGGGTGGTGTGACGTTCAAGGACAACAAAGCGCCACCTGAGTTGACGTACATGAGCAACCCTGACAACTTAGCTAGGGGGTCATTTGTTCTGCGAAATGGAGATGGCGACGAAGTGCATGCTATGGTCGAGGGAGCTATCCGCATGGTGCGAGATGGAAAATCTATCGGGACTTCATTTTTTAGCCTCTGGATGGGTCCATCGACAGATGCACCGCATATCATGTTCGAGTGGTTCATGTCGGAAAAACGCGTCTTTTTCCTAATGGACCTTAAACCCCGCAGGTAAGTCAAACTCTCAAGCCTTAGGGCCAGACCCCACCGGTGGTGCCATGTTCATGCTTGGAACGCATGAATCTGGCTGTGGTAACGGCTAGGTTCGTGCTTTTCAAGCAGGGACATTGCACGATCGTAGCATGACTCTTATTCACACTCTCTTTTGAGTCCTTTAAATTCCATGATTGTTGCTCTTGCTTATCATGATTCCATCCCGATCCAAAATCATCATCTTTTTCTTTTTTCGGGGGTTGGGGGGGGGGGGGGGGGGGGGGGGGGGGGGGGGGGGGGGGGGGGGGGGGGGGAAGGGAAGAGCTGGGGGAGCGCAGACAGAGGAGATCCAAACTCATGATCTCTTTACTGGCAGTTACAAGTTATAATTTCAGTTTTGGACCCCGTATCCAAGAGATGAAAAGTGGGGCTCCCGGTTAACCACTTGTGACAGGAGCTGGGGCCCAGTCCCACTAGCAGTGTTGAGTTTCCTCAATGCCCGAATCTGGACATGTTTGTAGGGATGTGCGTTTGGGGAAACTCAACGCGATTTTCTGCACCTCTCCACAAACACGTCTGCATGCGGGCATTGAGGAAACTCAACACTGCTAGTGGGACTTGGCCCCTGGGTTGGTATACACAATCTGACTATCATGTTTTCCTTTGAAGAAATGTATTTGCAATGAACCCAGTCAGGTGGAAAGCTCAACAATAACCAAGTACAGAATGTCTCAGCTCAGTTGCAATGTCTGTGAAATCGTACATGTGATCCAGTGATCCAGCGTCTCGTGACCAGAGAAGAAGCAGATGGGAGGGGGATTAGACTTAGAGGGTGGAAGAGAAAGTAGTAAAGTACCCATCAGCTCAGCAGATAGAACTCCCTCACAAACCCACTCCTCCTCTGGACAACCCTTACTCACCACCTCAGCGGACAGTATCCCCCTCTTGCACGCTCCTACAATGAACAGATATCGTCAAGGCGCACACGGCGCACTCTCCTCTGAAGACAATCAGCGATGCGCAATGTGGACACAAACGCAGCCAGGTAAGCTTTCCTCACATTCGACCAATCTCTCAGCCCTGGTCCTCCTCCTCCTTGAGTCCTCGACAGTAACCCATCAATGTAGTAGACAGTGTGGCGAGAGCCATGTCAGCTTAGTCAGGAATCCAGCTGGCGCCGTAGACAGAGGAAGGCGCCAACGCAAAGCAGTAGCAGCCTCGCGTCGTCGTCCAATTTCAAGCCAGCGTAGCGCCAGCGACGAGCCACCGTCCAGCCAGCGTAGAGCCAGCGTCAAGCAGCAAGTGCAAGGCTGACTGTCGGTCAGCAGGGGCGGGGTCAACATTACTCCGGTCGACCGGCCTCTGGTCGCTCAGATGCGATGGCCCAGATTGACTCGCGGCCAATGGTCTGGATCCCATACATTTGCAGATTTCCACTTGGACTCGATCCTCGGTAGATACCTGCGAACAGCCAAGTGTGTGTGTCTGATTGGTGGCCTAGGCTGGATCCATGTTGACTTTGACTCGTGAGCCCAAATTTCCGAGCTGCTGTCGACCTTTGACTTTCCACGATCAACTGTCGCACGTTGGGCCTCTGGAGCCCTTTTTTAGGCCTTGCTTCGGGCACCCACAGTAGCAGGCCTTTGTTTACTAGGCGATTTCATGACTTGGGCTTGGGCGTTGACCCCTGTTTCGGCCCTTAGACTGAAACGACGACCCATGGCCCACGACTATTGCATGATTTGAGCTGAGTTATTACATATTTTTTGAAAAAACTTTCAAAACAGAAAAGGGAAAATTGCAGCTGTACCCCATTTAAAGATGGGAAAGCCTGCGCTTACAAGACTGGTTAGTTATGCCCACATCAAATGCCCAAAATCCTACCACTCCGACACAATCCGCATTAAAAAACCTATTCCCCATCGCACTAAATGGAACAGATACTGCTCTATGAACTTCTTCTATCAACCCAGCCTAATCACCTCCCTCCGCCCCCCCCCCCTCCAACCACCGCTCATCATCAAACATCACCCGAACTCACCCTTACCAATTTAAATACCTTCCCATCATTCAGGTCTCACGCCCACACCGCGAACCCAACACGCCCACGTCTTCCACACCACACTAAATCCTAACACCGATTACCGATCACACCACCCCCCATCAAGATACACAGTCCAAGCTCCCGATAATAGCTCGGTCAACGGGTCACCTGCCGCCCAGATCTCAAAGGTTTTAGGATTTCAGTTTCAGACACTACTTTCAAGGTTGCATTCTCACGCTACTTCCGGTTCCGGACGTTACTCCACCTCGGTCAATGCGACACTAGTAATCTAGGGTTCAGGGTTGTGGCCTCAGACATCACTTTCAAGGAAAATTGCTCCACAGGGAAATTGGAATTAGAGCAAAGGGGTCCGTCACACCCTCAGTCCCGGAAAAACCGAGACACACCATAGGCTCAATTGACATGAGGAACAGACAGAAAAGAGACAGGATAGTTCAAGCAAAGTCAAGTAGCTAACACGCTTAGCTTCTAAAGGAGAAACAGCCTAGAATAGACTAACTTAAGCAGGGGTGAAGATCGGTACATCCTTCTTCAAGGAAGTAATCAATGCCGTCTTCTGGACCTTCACGCCATAAGGGGGAGGAGCGTGAGTGAGTAACCATTGTACTATCTTGGACTTGCCGGGGGAATAGGAACCAGACCGACGCTTCCCAGAATGGAAAAGGAGCCAGAACCATAAGGTTCTGTTTTCAAAAAACAAAAAATTTAAAGATGGGAATACCCGGTAATACCCCGGTATACCCAGTCCCAGGGCCCAGCTTGCATATCTATACCCGGACCCCATTCAACTTAAAGTTGCATAGTAGCCGACTTTTCCCCTGACAGTGTGCGAAATGGTAGGCACATCCTGTCCCGCAGGCCCTCAGTTCCGGGCCACGAAATTATGCCCATGCCCAGAAATGGGCTGGCAAAAATGCGGGTGTACCCAAAGCCACGGGCGGGCCTTGGATGACAGACCACAAAATTATGCTCATGCCCACCACGTGAACCGTTGTGACCCAGCAGTTGCTGGGTATGAGCATAATTTCAGCCATCCGGGTAGAGCAGGGTATATGAGCAATTTGGCCTCTCCTCCTCAGGTCCCGGGCATGCCCATAATTTTGCCTGGGTAGGTCCATGCATTTGGGTAGTTGGTCATAAAATAATATAAATGCAATTTTGCGGTACCAACCTGGGTCCACCTAAATCCTCGGCATGGAAATAATTTCCACCGGGAGTTTTCTGGATATGGAAAAAAAACAAAAGAAGAGAGAGAGAGAGAGAGAGAGAGAGAGAGAGAGAGAGAGAGAGAGAGAGAGAGAGATTGCCACCAGGTTCACTTACCCACGTTTAGCTTGTTTCTTGCTCGAGTCCCTGTTCTCGAGGCCTGTGCCGTCCTCATGAATCAGAGACAAGCCAGAGGGCTGTGAGACATGGCCACTGCTTTCCTTTTTCACTTTCTGCAAATTTTAAGCAGTGGCCATGTCTCACAGCCCTCTGGCTTCTCTGATTCATGAGGACAGCACAGCCCTCGAGAACAGGGACTCGAGAAAGAAACAAGATAAACGTGGGTAAGTGAATCTGGTGGCAATCTCTCTCTCTCTCTCTCTCTCTCTCTCTCTCTCTCTCTCTCTCTCTCTCTCTCTCTCTCTCTGTCTCTCTCTCTCT